TGATTTGATGAAGGTATGAAGAGCTATCGCTTGTGATTCTGGTTATTAATTAGTTCTGAACTGAAAACCTAAAAATCTTAAGACCTTAAAATAACACATGTGGATTTGAATGCGGCATTTTTTTTTCTGAGGCTTTTTTCTGCAGCAATTACATCAATCAAAAGATTTTTCCAGCTTCTGCTGGAACCCAATAAAGAGCAGTGATTGCGGTCGGTACAAAATGCAGAATCAATTTTGTTCATTTTGTAACTCAAAGAGTTATCAATATGTTCTATTTCATTTTCGATAAATGTGCATCTACGTGTGCGCCTTTTATCATAAATGCCGCAAAAACCACAATTTTTTTTACCGTGTTTTATTGCGTGTTGAGATTTTTTGGTAACCATCTAGGTGGTGTGAATCTAAGGTTTGTCATCTTTTGACTATAATTCACAAAGACCTGCTACAGCTGCTAAAAAGTCTCAGCGTTCTAAGTCACATTTTAGAAGGTCAGAATGGCACTTTAAAAAACTTAAAATCCTTGCTTGGTGTTCCATAGTGAGCAAAAAAAAGTAACAGTTATTAGAGCTTGGCTATCAACTTACCTTGCTTAACCCGGCTCAAAACTAATAATCAGTAATCAATTCTATATCATCAACATAAAACTGTTTTGAAACAATTTCTATTCCAGGAGAAAACATGTTAGTTACTTCAGTCACAAGATTGATGAGCTGATCAAGTTTGACTTCTGTTTCAATTTTTGGGTTTTCTCCCATAAAGTTTAGGCAATTTTTCCCGTGGCCCATCAAGAGAACCCAATGAAACTCCAGTCGCATTTTCTTTTCGCTCAAACCCAAATCACCCAACAATTTCTTTAATTTCAATCCATTTTAATGCCAATTGAAATTCCAATCCATTCATTCCAATCCAATCCATTAATGCCAATCCAATTTTTATTTGTTAATAATTTTTTGAAAACCCTTTTAACGAAAACCTTATCTTTTTTGTTGTCGTATACAAATGGGCAGCCTTAACGTGCTCTAGCGTTTCTCTGTCGGTTGTCGTTAGCCTTTCGACCACATAAGTAGACTGCGAAGCACTATTTTTATTTTTTTATTTTTTTCAAACTATCTTTTTTGTACCAAACCATATTGCGATGTCTATGATCAACATCGCGATATGGTTTGGTACAAAAAAGATAGTTTGAAGAAAATAAAAAATAGTGCTTCGCAGTCTACTTATGTGGTCAAATTTGGCATTTATTGGTCTCCGTCCTACTCCATGAACAAATGACTCCGTGCGAAGTCAACATCAATACGAGGAACACCCATTTCATTGTTAATGACTTTTAAGACAGCATCCCAAAGATCAAATGCATCTAGAAGGTGAAAAATTAGATAAGATTCGGAGCAATAAACTCTACATCAAGCATGCTTTTTTGATAAGTCCACATTAGCGTAGTAATTTGTCATTTTTCAACTTCTAGGGCTACAATTTTCAGCTGTTGGGTGTCGATAAGTTTCAAGATTGTCGAAAATTTTTTTGGTTAATTCTCAAATGTTATAAGAACGACTGTTCGATTTGATGTGATGGCATCGGTCAAGTTTTTAGAGCGAAATCTCTAGCGCGACTAGAGCACAATTGACATTCAATTATTTGTAAAATTTATCACATTTAGGCTAACATTTTTCCAAACATTCTTTTACACACACGCAAGACATATTGTAAGTGGAAGAACTAAGTCAATAGCAAGAGAAAGCGAAAAAAATGGCCTTTATAAAAACACACCAACTATACCATTTTTATTTAGAATCATAAACTTTTGAAAGCAAGCTTTTTCTACAGAAATCAGTAAACGTTTCTCTTAATTTTTGATTCAAAATTAAAGCAACAAATTCAAAGTTAAACCTTTTGAATTTGGATAAAAGCTAAAAAAATTCAACTAAAAATGCTCGGCTATATGGGAACAAAAATCATTTATATTTTTCGGCTATCCAATAATGCGGTAATATGGATACACACCCTTTCAATAGATTAAATGCTGCATAAAAACTTTTTACTCTCTCACTTTTTAACATTCCCGGGTCACGGCCGCGGGTGTAATATCGAAAAAAAAGATGGTGGTAGGGTGCGTTTGGAAGAAACATTAAGCGATGCCTGATATAGGAGTTATAGTCAGAAAATTACATTGGAGAAAAATGATTGACCGGAAAACAATTAATGGAAACATATCTGCACGTTTTGACCATTTTTGATTGCTATTTTGAAGCGGAATAGTCACAATTTGGATTCGGATATCAATCCACACAGAAAACGCTTAACTGCATACTTTTTTTAAACAAATTTTGAATATTCTTATATTTCCAGGGAACAATTTTGTCTCAAAAATTTGACTACTCTGCTCAAAAATGATTAAAATGGTTCAAAATGAATGGAAAAACTCCAAAATTCCAATTTTTCCACGGAAAAATAATGCAAGAAACCTAGGGGCGCGTTTCTCTTGTAAGCTTCTGATATAAATGGGATTAATTGGGTTTGCGAGTTAGATCATCTTCGTCAACTTAGGGACGTCTTTTAGACATAAGGCTGAAAAAAGTTACAAAATGAAGAAAAACGCGGGAGAAAACTTTTCTGCATACAGCTTGTGTATACCTGCATTGAGTCACACGAAGTTGTGTTAGAGACGAGTCTGCCTGCGAACACTCCTCGGATCACCCGAAGTCTTCCAGTCGTGTTCTCATCGTCGTCATCTTCGCCGATGATCTTGTCAGCCGAATCAGCTGGAGGAGTAAATTCGTTCGACTTCCGTTCGGAGGAGTGGGCGGCGGCGGCAGCAGCATCAACGGGTTCCAAGAAGAAGCGGTTTCCAAGAATTGAGAGGTAAATAAAAAGAAAAAGCAATGGTCCCTGTTTGAATTTCTTTGTTGTTTCCATATTTTCAAAAATGTTAAGATGATTGCGTTTGCAACATACGGGAAAGTAAAAATTGGAAGAAAAAATTTCTTTTTCTTGTTTAGATAAAGAAACAACAATCAATATAGGAACTTCTTGGAGTTTTTACAAAGTCGAACTACAATTTGTTTACTGGCAAATCGAACGATCTGACTCAAAATAATCGCTCTATTGAATTTCGAGGTGCTTTTGCAAAATATCACGTGAAAAAACCTGAAAGTAATTAATCTTAATATAAATGATTTTTTTTCGAGTTTGGTCGAAATAGTTTGATGTTAAGCACTGGTTGACTGGAACAATAGTACTAACGTTTATAACTAACGGTTGCTGAATCAATCATATTATAAGGTTTTGTTTATGAGCTTTGGTCTTTCCGAAGGACCGTATAAATAAAAGCACTTTAAGTTCTTAAGTGTTCTCGTATTGTCCTTAGAACATTTTAAGGCCCACATCCTTCTAGAGTAAAACTATTAAGTTGTAAAGAGTTTAAATTAAAGATACGCAGTGAAATTAAAGTCGACTCAAAAGTTTAACAAACTCATCATAAAATAAAAGAACCAAATGAAAAGAAAAGGATAACTTGTTCTCGAAGAGTTCATGTTTTTCTTATCTTTCTGATGATTTTCCTTATCTCGTATTCCGAGACACTTTGAAAGGCACTTCAATCGAGGCGTGACGAAATTTTGATAGTACTCCAAGTTCAAATCTACATGCCTCCAAAAACAAATCAGCGGTTTTTGGATTATTTTCTGAAAACCCCCACCACTCCCCAATGTACACATAATATTAAAAGTTTTTGGACACAGGGGCAGATCTAGGATTTTCTCGAGGGGGGCGGATTTTCAAAAAAAAATCCAAATTTATCGACCTTTTTATAGGTCGACCAATTGATTTTCCCAGCTCTCACAAATCACTATAATTTTCTGTGCCGTAGGCATAATTTTGAAAAAAAACGAGCCGAAAAATACGTTTTGAGCACCTTTTGGAAAACTTTGACCAAAAAATTGCATTTTTTCGGCGCGCGCTTCCCCCTCAAATTTATTATATATTGGCGCCAAAGACGCCTTTAGACAAAAATTTAGGATCCCTCAGCCGCCAAAAATGGAGATCTCAAAATAGTACAAAGGGGTGACCCCTTGGGTCGGCATGGGTTCGATTCCCTAAAATTGACATATTGAATCAGATGTCAATTTTACAATTTCTGGTAAACTTGACACCAGCGCTTTGAAAAATAATAAGCATACTAGCAAAAAAGAAACAGATGTGTTATTGATTAGTGGAAAGTGTTTTAGCTCAATTATAACTAACTGTTTCGTCGGCTTTTTAGGGTCTTTTCGGTTATAAATCCCGGGTTCTATTCATTTAATTAAGCTTCAAACTGGCATGCTTCTATTTTTTTTACACTTTTCTCCACTAAAGTGTCATGAGTAAGAGCCCAAATGAGTTATAATTCACATTTTTGGCATATTTTCAAGTTAATTCAACGCTCGGGATATTAGCGTAGAAATTCTAAGTAAAATTAATCCAATTTCGTTTCAAAAAGTTTCATTTTATTTTCTGATTATTAGGGAGGTATATTCAATAAGACTCGCTGTATAATAATTTTTTGAAAAAGTTTGCCGACTTTTTTAGGTCGCTCAATTTGAACATTAAGCGCAGCTGTTTTGAGCATTTTTTGGACAGTTTTGACCAACAAATTGTGCTTTTTTTTGGCCCACGCTCCCGCCTCAAATTATTATAAATTGATGCCAAAATTTTAGGGCGAACATTGGGATAATTTGGCAACTAGAATTGAGAGAGGAGGTTGGGGGAGGGCAGTCGTCTCTTCAAACTCCTCGGCACGCCTCTGGTGGTATTTTTGAGTTTTAAAAATTTTTCATCGTAATTTTACAATGCTGGTCGTTGAGAATTTTTCTATATGAAAAATTGCACAGGAAAAATTGACTATGAGGCTTAGCTTAATAATTGTTGTAAATGTAAAAAACAAATGTACCATGAACTTTGACAAGAATTAATTGCAAATAATATCACTAAATTAACAAACAAAATCAAACGACCTTAAACTTAAAGAAGCGCCATTGTTCGACAGCTAAACTAAATTTTCCAACCTGAATATCAGTATTGAACTGTAAATTCTTTGGTTTACCGTAGAACTTAAGCTTTACGATGAGTCAGTTTATTTCAAGTCAGCAGTTAATCTTACTTATCGGTAAAGTACCATTACGTATACATCTCATAACGGGCACTTTTTTAAGAGGGCCTTTAAGAGTTTTCGTTCCGGTTGAGCTCTGATTTATAAGATCATTTTCAGAAAAAATCTTAATCGGGGACAAGTTTGTACGATAAATTTTGGAAAAGTATTCCTCTGTAATGGGATTATACTAAAAGGATGTATGCTATATGAAACGTTTCCTTAACTTTTGTAGGGTTCATTTCTATTTGGCCCATTGGGGGGCTTTTGGATGGATCGTGTCCCACAGCTGGAGAAGTGGAGATTCTACATCAGCCGATAGACTTTTATGACGGTATCTGGTATGAGATCTACACACACCCCAACAAAGTGGATGCCTGTCCCTGTCATTACGTCAACAACACTGTGATAAAGAAGCGAGGGCGGAGTAAGTCTCTATTCATACCTCGGACAATCTCATCACAAACTAACCCCCCCCGCAAACACACACTCGCGCACACACGCACACCTCTATAGAAAAAGGGGGAAACTCACGACTAGGCTCTAAAATGCCCAAATGATTAGCTGTTGAGTAATTAGTAATTAGCTTAAAGAGATTTCGGGGAGGATACTTTTCGCTATGCACTATAGCTGGAAAGGATTAATTGATTTTAAAAAATTGATTTCATCTTTCATAGTTAATTATCTGATTGTAATTTGATTGACAACAAAACTTTTCATCTGAAATCTGAAACTGTATTACTGACACAAAAACTGGCTAAAAAAAGCTTAACAAGCAAAAAAATCCGAAAATAAAAATTCTATGAACAGACGGCTTGGTGCTAATAGTTTTATGTAATTTTGAGGCAAAAAAAAAACACGTTTTTATAACTATTTAATGAAAACTTCCACAACTTGAGGCAATTTTTTTAAATAGCATGTAAGGAAGTTTGCATCTCTTCAATCAGCTACTGGTTCCAAGGGTTTTAAAATTCAGGCACAAGTTGGAAAAACAATCAAGATACAAAAAATTTTTAGAAAAATTGTTAGTTTTTTTTCCAAATTAATGTCGTTTTTAGTGCCTGGTATGATTTGAAAACTATACAGCGCGTGGAAACTTAGTGGTTTAGACAAAATCGATAACATTTGTCTTCCAAAAACAAAAAAATAATGTTTAAAAAAATGAATTTTTTCCCATTTTGCACAAAAAAGTTTGATTTTGTTTCTAGAAAGTTTTTATCGTCAAGGAAACACTAAAATAAAAATCCAAATTTGTATTTGATTTAGAAATTAAGCTTTTTTAATCCTTAGAATCTAAAACAAACCAAATTTGCATATATCCTTACTCGATTGCTTTACTCGCTCGAAATGGAATTAAAAATCAAAAAGTTTAAACCAACACTGGGATAACCTTTTACCAATTTTTTAAAATGCCTTTTTTAACACTGGGACAACTTTATGCCAATTTTTTATTGTCGCTCGAATCACGACTAAAAAGTCGTGAATTTGGTATACTACTCGATTCATTCCAATTAATTTTTGTGGTACTTGGTTTTGCGTGGAAAAAAAAGAAACAACTATAATACACCCGGCTGTAAGGTGCCTCCCAGTTTTTAATGGTTATAAAATAACTTTTTTTTGAATTTCAATCAAAAAAACTAGCATAAAACAATTTAAAATAAGGGTTATTTTACAAGCCGCCAAAAAGTAAGAACACGAGCCATCAGAAAAGTAAGAAAATAAAAATAATAGTTTAAATAAAAGACTGGATAAATCTTTGTCGTCGAAACCGCAACAAGGTTACTTTTCTATCTAATTTTAAACTTTTGTAATGTTCAAAAGTTTCTCAAGCAAAAAAGTTTGCGGACTTCAAAACATACTTTGCAAAACTCCAGTTTGTGGAATCAATCAAAATTTTCAAACAAGTTTGCAGTGTAATGCACTGGATGAGGTTACATACAGCACTTAGGATAAAACATCATTGAGAATAAAGTTTCCTTCAGTATTATAATTTTAGTTCATAATCATAAAAATCACAAAAACTAAAATCAATAGATCTAGGTGAAAGGTACAGCTATTTCCTTCTTGGGCTTTTTCCACTTTCCCCCTATTTGAGTTTCAGTTTTGAAAAATTAATTTTAGATTTTCATGCCTTACTACGTATTATAACGCTTTCAGCCATGATAGCACGTAAGACAATTTTTAAAATGGAAAAATTGAAATGTGAGAAGGAACGTGGAAAAGAGCCCCTTCCTGAAACATTTTGAAACTTGAAAGAATTTTGAGGGGGTTAAAGGGTTGCATCCACGATTTCAGTTAACTAAATTGTAAAGATTTTTATTGGATTTCACTGACAAGGATGAAAAGCTTCTGCTTAGGTTTGTTAAGATTTTTATTGGATTTCACTGACAACGATGAAAAACTTCTGCTTAGGTTTGTCTGATAAAAAACCTAACTTTTAATTATTCACAAGGTTATTTTGCTTTCAAATTAGCTTTTAAGTGTTCTGAAAAAAAATTTTCTACAAATTCACGTTTCAAATATTTGTGTACTGATTCTTGCACTTTGTGTACTGATTCCTGATTCCTGTACTGAAATGCAATTTTGAAGGCACTTCTGAACTGCGGCTGTTTAAAATCTTGTCTCCGGATTCCAGAGAAATCAACTCACCGAAAAAATGATTTATGAGAACACAGTTTGGCCGCGAAATGACAATAAAAATTGAGTGACAAGAGCTTAAACAAAACGGCAATTTTTTACAAAGTCAAAACATAATAATTACATTTAGGGCTGAGAAATATCAATTAGAGAAAAAATTAGTTTTTCAATTTAAACTTATCAACAGTTATCAAGTGAACGTTGTTAGTTTGTGGTTTTACAAGAGGCCGTTTTGAGCAAACTCTGGTTCAAGCATTCCTGTATCTTGTAAATTATCAGCAAAATTGTATATTACGCTTTGATAAATAATCATTGACGTGTTGACAGACGTTTTTAAAATAAAATAAAAAATTGATTTTTTTAACTTGCGCACACAATTCTCATTTACCTTGCTTACAGCAACTTTTTTTATTTGTGTGATTTTTGAATAAGTTGCAGGAAAATGGTGAATTTTTTCCTGTTTATTTGGTTTAGTAAAACATGTCATGACCAGCTTATTTTCTCTTTCAAAATTACAATAAGAATTTCCAAGCAATTGCTGTAAATTTCAAGCAGATTGTTTTTGGTTGGAATCACCACTCTCTAATTTTATAAAAATTTATTTAAATCCACGGACTTTCAAAATTGTTTGGAGTTGTGCCCAGGGGCGTGTATAGGGGGCACGGACGACGAAAAACGCAATGTGCTTTGGGAGAGCTCGGAATATCTTTTTGAAAATTTGTCCTCCCCCTCGAGAAAACCCTAGATCCGCCCCTGGTTGTAGCCTCTTTTATCTGGATCTATGGGTTTTCAAAAAAATTGTCTTTGAACCCCTTTTAATTGGAAGTATCTGCAGTACAAGCACGAAGAAACTGCTCGTATCCCGGCGGGTCTCTAAACATTCCAAATGCCAACCAATATCGATGAAAAAATATTTGGTAAGAAGTTGGGGGAAAGCACTCAAAAAAAACAGAGCGGGTTTCTGTTAATTGTTTCAGATATATCCCTTACATGCTAAGTAAAAAGCAAAAAGTGGCAATTTTTTTTTAAGTTTATGTATTATTTACAAACAGGGAAAACTTTTTAATGTTTCGACTGCCCCTTAGAAGTTTAACATGGAAAAAGTGAGTTATGTAATTCGGGTCTAGCAACTTTTTTAAAAGTCCAAAACAATTTGCCTCTGAGATTAGAAAGAAAATAGAAGCGGTATGAATTGCCGCATACGTGTTCATAGAAGGAAGTCAAAAAAACGTTAATTGTCTGAAATTTAGCCTAACGGGAAGTTTCCAATCCATAAGTTTACAAAAAAAATTGCAGGTAAATATGTTTTTCTAATTTTACTCACGTCAATAATTGTTTTCGAACCTCCCCAATATTTATTTCATCCTGTCTCCTAGAGTTAAAATAATAACGGAATTTGATAGACTAAAGTCTTTCTGCTCGCAAGTTGAGGCGACACATTCAACTCAATTCTAAGAAAACTGCTCGTATCAGGGTATAACCCTGAATGTTACGACTGCCTTTTAAGGTCTATTGAGCAGGAAAAACATGAAAAAAAATTAAATGCAAAATTTAATTTTTTTTTAATTGAGATTTTTGTGAGAGCCATATAAAGTACAAAGTGATAGATTTCGCTTTATTAACAAATCAAGTTGACAAAAAACTTTAAGCTCTGGACAAGAATATCTTTCGAATGATACAAAAAATGCCGTCAAAAATGGCTAGTTAAAAAGTCGAAATTTTTCTGAGGAAAAAACACACCCCGAACAAATATTCCGTTACTTTCGTTACGAAAGTCGGAACAAAAATTCGTATTGCGTTGATCAGTATCTGCTATTAGATTACAAAGTTGTTCTGCTCTAATTATGTGCAATTACAACGAACTGCTAAATATGGGTACCGCATAAACATCCGATCTGTCAAAAATCCCAAAAAATATTTTATTAGGGCAGTTTTCCAAAAGTTTTTCCAAAAATAGGCAAAGATCCAATTTCTACTGTTAGCTGAAAAGATGCTGCAGTGCTCGAACGAAGGCGGATCGCAACAATCGCGCCAGCATGTTGCGAGCTTGCCACCAAAGTATCGTACTCTGTATAAAAGTAAAAGCCGGATATCGCCGCAAACTTTTTGAAATTCTAGCGTTATTTTGGTAGATAACTGTCCGAGTTCCGTAACGAAAGTAACGGAAAATTTGTGCTCGGGGTGGGTTTTTTTTTCAGACAAATTTCGACTTTTCAACTAGCTATTTTTGACGGAACTTTCTTATATCATTCAAAAGGTATTGTTGTCTTGAGCTTAAATTTGAAAAGATGTGATTTTTTTTGCAAAGTTATGGGATTTAAAAATTGGCTTTTTGGCCGATTTGGGACAATTAACGCGCGTTATACTTCGCGCTATTAACGCGTAAGCGGAGATTTAATCCGTCTTAGAAACTGTTCCAAATTGGTTGAAGGAAGCTTATTTGCGTAATTGATTTAATATTAGAAGCGAAATTTAACACTTTGTACTTTATATGGCGTGTGGTGGGATGATTTTCACAAAAAATCTAAAATTTCTCATTTTAATTTTTTATTAATTATTTTATATTCATTTTTTTAATGTTATTACTGCTTCATAGACCTTAAAATGTTATTACTGCTTCACCCTGATACGAGCAGTCTTCTGATTAAATAATTTTCAGTGTTTAACATAGCGGATGTCTGGCCTAGGCCCGCTGGAAATAAATTTCAACTTGAAATGCAGTCATTTGAAGTAAACATATTCAGATAATATCATTTAACAATTTTTGGATGTTTGTGGCCTGCTGCTATTTCGCTTTCAACAAAATAAAAAAAAACTCTTGACAAGACTTATTCGAAAATTCCTTTTTCAAAAAAATTGCGAGGCAAGTTAGAGTGAATAAATAATATCTTAGAAGTAGTACTGATACAAGAAGCTGTATTTCTCTGATCAAAAAAGAAGACAAGTTTTGCACTTAGGTCTATTATAAAACACAATTCAGCTATTCAAAATAACGACTCAAAAAATGGCTCATAATTGAATGTAAAAGAATTAAGACCCTTGAGTATAAATTCTTCTTCATTTTTATTACTTGCATTCAGCGAAAAGTCCCATAAAATGTTTTTTCAAATGTTTCTATCGGTTGGCAGAAATGGCTGCAAATTTTTTTAGTTATTTATGTAATTTTTTCTAAAGCTGAGTCATAAAGCAAATTATTATAAGTTTTTCAGCGCCAGGATAAAAAATCATTCAAAAGTTAAAAATTTGCAAAAATTTGATCAAAAGTTATATTTCGCGAATTATTAGGTATAGTTCAATGCTGTCCGCTTTTATCAGATATGAAAACAAAGAAAAGCTGTATTTCGAGGCCAGGAAAATCGGCTGAAGCCATCATATCATGTTCCCCGGGTTCACCTCTACCAATTAAAATTGCTAAGCATAAATTTTCATATTTGGAGTCTATGAAAAAAGGCTTTTCATACAATTTCAAACCATGAAAGTTGCATGACTACCATTTTTTTCAAAAAAGAAACTTTTTTTTTCTATAAAATCCTGTTTGCAAATAAACAAAGTTGTAGGTGGGGGGAGTAGTCGAAATTTTTCTAGTTTCGCAGTTTTATTCGAAAAAGAGCAAAAGTCAGTCTTTAATTGAAGGCCCCTTGAATCGAAGCTTGTATGAGTAATGATGAGTTGTGCTTTTAGATTTCATGAAGCAAGGTCACTTCTGCTACAACTGGGCAGAGGATGCATTTCTGCCCTACTCTACATGGGAGTACGAAGAGTTAAACGAAGGAGTGGGGGCATTCGTGGCTAGAAGAGTGACCTCATATAACATATTCAATAAACGACACAACTTCTTCGGTAAAATTAGTTGAAAACTTTTTAGTGAATGTGATATTTTGAATGTTATAAGCAAGTTGAGCAGCGACAAACTTCTTCGTTAAAAATATATGAAAACTTTTAGTGACTGTGATCTTTAAAATCATAATAACTATTTTTAGAAAAATCAAATGAATAAGTTTTTGCAGTTTGACTCTATTTGACCCATTTCGACTCATTATTGGTTTTTGGTTTGAACCGAACCCTTCGTTCGCCCCTCTCATGGTTGGTTGAAAACTGAACATCGCTCGACTATCTCATTTATTACCAGAGCTCCTCAGCGCGGGAACCAGTTAACTAATAGAGCATTTTAAAAAATCTCGCTTTTCTGAATTCTTTTTTTTTGCAAAAGACTAGTGAACTAAAAAAAGGTTCACTTTTTTCAGTAATATTTTTCAATAACAACTTTTTGATCATTTATAACATTCCAATTTTTTCTACAATTCTATTATTTGCTTTCGTTTAAAATACATGCTTATTATTCGTGAGTTCAACATTCACTTGTAATCTCTTGTTGTTCCGACTTTCGATACGAAAGTAACGGAATATTTGTGCTCGGGGTGGTTTTTTTTTCTTCAGACAAATTTCGACTTTTAAACTAGCCATTCTTGACGGAATTTTTTTTACATCATTCGAAGGGTCTTGTTGTCCTGAGCTCAAACTTGAAAAGATATTTCACCTGTGATCATTTTTTGTAAAGTTGCGGGGGTTTAAAGATTGCCATTTTGGCCAATTTGGGACAATCAACGCGCGGTATATTTCGCGCTATTAACGCGTGAGCGGAGAGTTAATCCGTCTTAGAAATTGTTCCAAATTGGTTAAAAGAAGCTTATTTGCCATAAATGGTTTTAAATGGTTTGTTACAAGGAGCGAAATCTATCTTTTTGTACTTTATGTGGCGTGTGGGGGGATTATTTTCATTTAAAAAATTTCAAATTTTAGAAGAAAAAAAATTTCATTTTGTTTTATTTCATTGAATTTTTTAATGTTATTACTGCTCCATAAACCTTAAAAGGCAGTCGGAACATTCAGGGCTTCGCCCTGATAAGAGCAGTCTTGTTTTGTTCACCGGGAGATTGATTATTGATGAAATTCCAAAGTGATTTTCAATCTGACAAATTTACTCCCTCCCTTTTTTGACGAATTCTTAAGGTGATCTTTTGGAATTTTGAAGCCAATAACAAATTTTTTTTTTACTATTTCTGGGGACTTTTTGTGACTATTTTTCTAACTAATTTCCTCCTTTGGTACCTAGTAACGAAGCCCCCCTTGCAATGCGTGTGTGGGGGGGGGGGGTGCGGGGGGTGGCTAGTTAAAGAGCTTTAAATTCTGTCTAGTGATGGACTGGGATGACCTCGACACTTATGTGGGTCTGGCGTGTGACCCTGGCCTCTTTCTCTCCCGCAGATCCTTCAGAATCTTCTCCAGATCCAGGACTCTTCAGGCCAGGACCAGGAGCAAGTTCGCCTCCTTCCTCGAGGAACAGGGTGCCGACTGGTACAGGACGGTCTATGCTTCTCCAAACAACTGGGAGCGGTGTCCACGAGATCGAAAGTCAAATGAAGTTTGAATGAAAGTTCAAAACTCGTCCAACCAATCATAATAAAGTCGTTTTCAAGAACAGAACAATTTCTCCATAATTTGCAAATTCCAAAATTAAATACATACACAAATACGGTAGGGCGAGAATTCGTAACAGGCGACAATTCGTAACAGGCGACAATTCGTAACAGGCGACAATTCGCAAAAGGCGACAAGTCGTAACAAGGCATTGGCAAGTAGAATACGCTTGCTCCGCTTCGCTCCGCTGCGCTTACATCCGGCACGAGAGGAATATTGAGCGTGAATCTGTGATCCCCGCTTAATCTTCTGTTACGAATTGTCGCCTGTTACGAATTGTCGCCTGTTACAAATTGTCGCCTGTTACAAATTGTCGCCTGTTACGAATTGTGACCTGTTACGAATTTTCGCCCGTTACGATATTTCGCCCGTTACGAATTTTCGCCCGTTACGAATTTTCGCCCGTTACGAATTTTCGCCCGTTACGAATTTTCGTCTCACGACAAATACATATACATTTTTTTTTCAAATCGAACACTGCTTTTTGACTTCCTGTGTTTTTTCCTCGCAAAATCCAGGGCTGTGACAGATTTCGTCTCATTTTAATTTCAAAGCTTACATAGATTCCGACCCACAAATTTGGGAGTATACAGATTTCGTCCCACTTTTTGTACAGTGTGCGCTTTCAAAAGCGAGTAATTAGAAGAAAAAAATTGCCTTTCACAATTTGTTTAATCAAAGCAAATTCAATGCTTCAAATCACAGCAGGACGCGACTAGCACTTATGAGAACTACTTAATCCGCAATAACAGTAATTTTCCTAAAATAGGACGAAATCTGTTGGATATGGGACAAAATCTGTATGGGACGAAACCTGTATGGGACGAAATCTGTATGGGACGAAAGCTGTTAATTAAATAAATTGGACGAAATCTGTAGTAGGACGAAATCTGTGCTAATCAAATCAAGTAGAATAAATAAATGTCAGATGATTTCAACTATAACTATAAAACTGAAGTCTCCTCAAGCATTATTGGATCTGCAATGAGAAATTTCCCAAAGTTGTTTCGATTGTTGAGAAAAAACTGTTTGAAATTCTTTTTTTCTATTCTTAGAACCTACAGTAAAAACTGCTATAATTGCACGATTTTTCTGCCAATACCTTTTGCCCTGCCCCAAGGAGCAAAAAAATGAAATAACTTCGACTGAAAGATACAAAAAATTATCCGAAACAAACTTGAAAGAATTTTTTTTACTATTTAACACCTAGTAAGTCACAGTTTTCTGTACCAACTGTTCTTGCTATTTGAATCACTTTGAAAAAATCTAAGGTGTATTTTTTTTCTCTTAACGCAAAATTGGGTTTCATCAAAGAGTCAGATGACTGCGGGATTTTAAATTGAGTATACAAATCATTACGTCTAAACATCAAAACGTTCGGAAAATCAGACTACCTTTGTTTGAAAATTTGAAATGTGAAATAAAGACTGCATTTGATTTGAGCCATAAAATGAACAAACTGCACGTATCAGGGCAAAGCCCTGAATGTTCCGACTGCTTTATAGGTTTTTGGAGCAGTAATAACCTAATAAATTAAAAGTAATAAAAGGAAATGAAAATTTTTTTTAAATAAAGTTTGAAAACTTTTACGAAAATCATCACAACACACGCTATATAAAGAACAAAAGGATAAATTTCGCTCCTTGTAACAAACCAATTATGGCACACAAGCTTCTTTTAACCAATTTGGAACAATTTCTAAGACGGATTGACTCTCCGCTTACGCGTTAATAGAGCGAAATATATCGCGCGTTAATTGTCCCAAATTGGCCAAAATGGCAATTTTTAAACCCCCGTAACTTTGCGAAAAATGATCACAGGTGAAATGTCTTTTCAGATTCAAGCTCAGGACAGCAATATCTTTCGAATGATATAAAAAAATTGCGTCAAAAACGGCTAGTTAAAAAGTCGAAATTTGTCTGAAGAAAAAAAAACCCACCCCGAGCACAAATATTCCGTTACTTTTGTATCAAAAGTTGGAACAAAAACTATTATAGCAAAGTGATGTAGCTCTGCACATACAATTTTCAAGCCTTAGCAAGCTTGTGGTTTGATTTAGATTTTTTCAAGGAAATACTCTGCAACAAAATTGGACCAAAAATTGCATTTGGAATTTTTTAAAAAATTTTACGTAATGCATAGAAACACAAACAAAAGTCAAAAAATAAACTAGGCTGCTAAAACTAACTTTTCTGCTTTGGTAAAAACACTTTTAAATTTTTCGTTTACGCTTTTATAGCACACAATGTTTTCAAAGTGTCTCAGACAAATGCTTGAAAAAACTTTAAAGTTTTCGAAAACTTTGTGATTATTTTACAACATTTTTTGTTTTCATGAGTTTTTCGTGGAAAGTCACTTTTTTCTGTGCTAACTATAGCTGGACGGCTCCAAGCTACAAGCATGTTTTTATGTTTTTGCCATGTGCTACTGTTTCGCTGAATAGCAAGAAATGATAATCCCTTGCAGTCAGCTCCATCGCAAATACATAGATCAATAACTACAGCAACTTATATTTTGAACTCATTTTATAATTTTCCTCAACTTTTTGTACTTTTTAGAGTTTTTAGAGAACGAATGATACAGTTAGAACATTATGCGAAATTTTTTTTACTGAAAGGATATATCAAAAGAAAAATGCTCGTATCCGACTGCCTAAGGTTTGAGTTAACGTTTCAAAACTTTAGTTAACGTTTAAAAACTCATAGTCTCAGACCAAAATATCAAAATTTAATTTTTCAAGACAAGGTTTCAAAAATTATGGAATTAAAACTTTGGCTCAAAAATTAAAATTTTTAAATCTCTAGCGCTTAAGTTTTTGATTTCTCTGCCAATTTTGTAATTTTTTTGTCGTGAAATGCATTTGATTTTGGGACAAACTTTAGCACTTTTTTTGCTCCACCTCCATTACTTGAGAATTGTCGCTCAGCTGATCGGTTGTACGGGAAATTGTCAATTTTTTCCTTTTTTTTGGTTTCAGTGTGAGTTTTTCGTCTTTGTTTTTGGTTTTTCAAGTACTTTTCAGTTCTTGTTCTTGTGCTACAATTTTATTTGTGAAAATTTTTCGTCAAATCAAATTTCAATACTTTCCCGGTATTTTGAAGCCCTTCTTTACATCTTCGCATTGCCACTAAAGTATCGAGCTAATGGTTGACATCGATGAAATTTTTGTTGATAGAAAAACCACACTCTACGTTCGCTGAACCATCTCCTAACAACATAATTTTTTGAATGACAAACAAGAGATCTTTATCAGCCACTGCATTAAGGGCCTTGATATAAACATAATCAAGACGATCTTTGAAGATATCGAATTCCAAAATTGCAATCGAATATTTTAACATGAGAGAGCCTCCTTAAACTGCACGATGGTACTATTACCGGATACTTCCTGTGCTCGCAATTCCAACATCTTTTTTCTAACGTTTATTGGGATCTTGTTAACTATCCCCACTATGGTACCTGTAACGAATCTCCGCAAAGCTGACCTAATTGTTCCGACTTTCGATACGAAAGCCACGGAATATTTGTGCTCGGGGTGGGTTTTTTCTTCAGACAAATTTCGACTTTTTAACTAGCCATCTTTCACGGAGTTATCATTTTTTATCATTCGCAAGGTATTGTTGTCCTGAGCTCAAATTTGAAAAGATATTTCACCTGTGATCATTTTTCGTAAAGTTATGGGTGTTTAAAGATTGCCAGTTCGGCCAATTTGGGACAATTAACGCGCGATATATTTCGCGCTATTAACGCGTGAGCGGAGAGTTAATCCGTCTTAAAATCGATACAGGGGGCGAAATCTATCCTTTTATATTTTGTATGGCGTGTGGGAAGATGATTTTCATAAAAAAATTTAGAAAAAAGAAGTTTTTCATTTTATTTTTTCTGACATTTAATTTTTTAGTGTTATTACTGCTCCATAAAACCTTAAAAGGCAATCGGAACATTCAAGTCCTGATACGAGTAGTCTTGTTACTTTATTCTTTAATTGACGAAGAGTAGAATTTGCTCAATATACTCAGAAACCGTGTCTGTACAAAACAGTCTCATACAAAACAGTCCAATACAAAACAGTCCGGAAAAAAGTGCCAATTAATAATTGTTTTAACGAGCCGATAGGCCGAAAATTGTCCCTTGTTCAACAAGCACAATTAACAAAATAGTGACCGCCACAGTCGCGCCAACGTGTTGCGAGCCTGCCAACAGAGGGTAGGACTTAATACGAAATTTTGAGCCGGTTATTGCCGCAAAGCGGCGAAGCGCGCACAGCGCGCCCACCGGCGACCTTAAGCTAGACTGTTTTGTATTGGACTGTTTTTTTCCTCCATTACATGATTTTTGGGACTATTTTATATTGGACTGTTTTGTATGGGACTGTTTTGTATATGCACCGTCCAAAAATTTTAAGTAGTGATATTGATTTGCAGACACTGATATGATATAGAACTTATGGTACTGACAGATCACGCTTCGCACTGATTTGGCACTGATGGCACTGAACGCACTGATATCTTCACTACACTGGATTTCAAAAACGGAAATAATATCCACTTACGCGTTAACAGCTCAAAATATATCGTTGATTAATTGTCCCAAATTTACCAAATTGGCAATTGTGAATCCAAAAATTTTACAAAAAATGATCGCAAGTAAAATTTTTTTGAAAATTTGAGATCAAATTAAAAACATCTTTCAGGTTATTAAAAAAAGCATTCAAAAGGGCAAAATAAAAATTGAAACTTGTCGGGAAAAAGCATTCCGTACAAGCATTCCGTAATTTTCTTTGAAAGTCGGTACAAAAGTTACGACTATTTTGTTTGGTTGGCCATTTTAAAATGTTGAGTTCTAAATTGATTCCTAAATTGACTTTAATTGACCCAAAATTCAATATTTTTGAGCTCTGCAGAAACCCAAAAACAGCTTTATTTGACCAAAAGCACGAAAAAAGTTTTTTTTTGCATATTGTAACGAAATAATAAAAGCAATTTTTAATACACTTATTTTGTCGATTTTGCTTAAATAAGAGGAAAATGTATCGTGCGTTCAGTTTTTTGGTTCTTTTTTGCTAGAGATCAAAAGGGCTGATCACTTTCA